AGCTACCCCTTACCCCCGCTGCCCCTAAGGGCAAAATTTTCCAAATTGACCATAATAATTGTTGTCCTCATATCTAAGAAGGTTGCCGCAAACAGATTTCAAATATCTCAAACTAGCAACAGTGCCCGTTGTGGTTAAATACAACGGTCTCTAGTAAAGTAATGGTTATGAAATCCATACACCACTTTACTCACTAATATTAATGGTACAGTTTAAGCGCATAACATTAGAATCACACATTTATCATAAGGAACACACTTTAAACATAGATGCAAATTGTTAACAACAACATTTAATCAAAGAAAAATTAATTAGATAACAATAAGCTGTTGAATTATTAACACATGTTTCGTATGATTAGATTATGGGTAAACCAATTATTGCCATCTATAAAATTAATTGGTTTTTCTTTTCCGAGGCGGTTTAGCTCTTCTACCCCACCGATTTTCACAATTTTGGCCTTAAACTAAAGGTATGGACGTTGCGCAGATTTACCATCAAGCATCGGCATTCATTTTGACGTATGATTCGAGTTATGAACAAACTGCCTCCCTGTACATTTCTTATGGGAGTTAAATTTTGGTTTTTCCGAGTTCAATGTTTCGCAAGCGGGCGATGGTTTACAGTAGGGCTCTTCTACCTGCCCGATTTTCATAATTTTGGTCTTAAAATAATGCTATGCAGGCACATATTTGTCATCAAGCGTCATCATTAATTTATCTAATGTATTAATCGACGAAAGAATTTGTTTTCTCTTCAATGAAAGATGTATTCCAGCAGTTCTAATTACATTATACATTTTGGTCTAAACACCTTAAGTGAAATACCAGCCTTCATTTGAGCTATTGATTAAGATCGGACTACCTAAAGCACACTGCTGAATCACGAATCAACAATAAATACAATAGTTTTAGTACCTATCTGCAATCAATGATACGTAACTCTATTTTTATTTAAGTTATTTTATATGTCTTGGTCTTAAAATACTTCAAAGGCTTTCACTTGAGATATTGATAGTTTTAATCAGTTAAGTTCAAGATACTGTATCGCTCAATCAGAAAATATAAATTTGATTATATCTTGGATTTGGAATTTAGTTTTAGATACATTTACTTAATTCTAATTACGTTATTCTATTTGTTTTGACCTAAGAATCCTCATTGAAATACCAGCTTCCATTTCATTAAAGCACGCAGCTAAATCACGACGAACACAAATTGTTCAAAAAATGGAGTTATTTATCATTGATTTATAGCCAAACGATCTTGCTTGCAACCTCAACAGTACTTTCATAATTATTTGCAAATATTCACAAATTAGGCTATCCAATGACCTATTAATTAATAAAATCGGTTCAGTAGAACTGTAGATTTAATTGTACAAAATTTAACAACAACATCTTTAATTCAGTATTTTCTCACTACTATAAACCTGGAGGTTGCTTAACGTTTTTGCAAATAACTTTGAAACGGCGAGGAAATCGACCAAAGTGGAAGGTGGTATTCTGAAAGAGAATAAAATGTCCTACAAACTACTATTGTGAATTTCTTGAATATACTCAATAAAGGCAGCCTAAAGTTGTCTAAAAATAGTGTAAAATTATACATATGGTCATAATGTAAACAAATCTGCTGAGGTGACTTTATATGCCTCTGGGGCAGAGCCCCAAGGGAAACAGACCAAGACCTTTTTTTAGAGACCTCTACCGAGTTTCTACGCCCAGCCGTTCTCTCAAATTAGCTGTGACAAAACCCCGTTTCCCCCCCATAAGAATAATATGGGATGGGAATTTAAAGGCCACTGGGGCAGGGCCCCAAGGGAATTTACCTCGTTTCTCTTTTGATGGCTCATCTACAGACCAAGCCCTTTCTTTAGACACCTCTACCGAGTTTCTACGCCCAGCCGTTCTCTCAAATTAGCTGTCACAAAGAAAAACAGTTTCAAATTAATATATAGATAGTTCATCACACTAGCAAAAAAGTCTTAAACCTTAGCTCATTTTCCGACCTCGGCTTCACCTCCGTCGTCAAAACTTGCGCTCGGGTCGAAAAAGTGACTCTACCCCCTAGTGAAGAAATAACCTATTCTGTTTTTGAAGGGTTATGGCTTGAATCGACATTCTAAAGCCTTTTTGCATACCCGCAGACATAGACGGGTGTTTTAACGTACAGGAGGGAGATTAAGTCTTAAAACGAACACAAATTTAGACAAACAGATTGTGTTAAGCAAGAATCGAGGGCCGTTTTCAGTTTTCATTCCTACTGGTATAGTCAGAAAATTTGACCCGAAAATTTGAAGGTTAAACCTCATAACCAACATTTACTGGCAATATTTTGTTTATTTCTGGATTATTTTTCAAAGTTTGTCTCTTTTAATTTTGTTATTGCTTGTGAAAAAAGTATTTGAGCATATACAAAACATGAGGACCAACCTAATCAATATACAAATAACATTTACACTTCAACCACTTCAAGTAAATGATTCTTAAAATTGTTATTTTATGTTAGGC